CCATTATAAGCATCGCAGTACAGGCTCTCCTTCACATCATCTGCTCAGCTTTGGTCGTTATAGATGAGATTATAATTTACATTTCTCCTTGGTATTTTGACATGGAGAATAACATCCTCTGCACCATCATCTCTCTGTACTCTTTAGGGACAACCATTAACATGGGCGTTAGTCAGTCACTGTTCCGGCAGAGAGCCGTTCATGTTTGGCACAAACTTTTCAAACCTCACAGTTTATCTGTGTCAACAATCGCCCAGACCGTTTCATCTGATATTCTGTCTAACTAAGCACAGTGTTCACTGTTTAATGCATATTGAGGATGTGACACTAATAGAAAGTCACATTTCTAGTGAGGTTTGTACAGTTTTACACTTAACAACTCGATATGAATTACTTATTAATAACAAGAAGTCCGAACATTCATGCAAGCCATATGAATGCAGTTAACCTGGAATTTCTGGATAGCTTGTTACCGATAACATAATTACATATATATATACACACACATTAAAATCTATTTGCTTATTTCTCACAGAGGACTTTTGTAAGACACTGTCTATGTCGTATCTTTGCTGATTTGCCTAAAACAACTTTTTTGTTTATTCTGTTACTGAACAATATGATACAATAATAGCTGCATTTAATTAATAGGTTTAAGTTATAGCTGCTAGTTTGGTTCTGCAACATCACAAGGTTTTAATAATCAAACAAACTCCAAAGTGTATAGCAACAAACTGGAAAATCATGATATGACTGCAATGTGAAATCTGTAAACATCAGGTATGTGTGATGGCTACCATGGCTGGGAATTTAACGTGTTAGAATGGACAGTGAGAATGGACAGTGACATCAGCTGAAACACATCAATATTCAGGAAAACCTTGTGATAAAATATATTGTGATCAAATCTGTAAAGTTTCTCTTTGTCCACTGGGCTCTTTTTTTGCCTACTCAGAAAGTGCTCCAGTGTTGAATTAATTCTTACTGTCTTCATTTATGCCTAGATATTGTAAAGCTTAATTCAATGCTATACAATATTTCAAATATTTGAACATACAGCTCTACAGTTCTTCACTTTTAATTGGCATATAATTAAAGAACAGAATAGCAATAAAATGATTTCCTGTGGAGGTTCTTGAAACTTTACAAATGTTCTTTAATTTCACATCTCATTCACAAAAAAAAGATTCTTTAAATAATTCATTCAAAGCTCCTTCATGGAATGAAAAGAGAATGAAAAGATTTTCTTCTACAGCAACACACTAAACAGTCCTTTGGGTTCCATTTGGCACCTTAATTTAAATAGAAACAGTGTGAGATTTTGTTTCGTACCTCATTAGAATGTGACTCACATTAAGATCTGCTGAATTAAACTGTAACTTAATTACACTGTACTTAAAAATGATTAATTACAGTAGGGAAAAATACAGATATTACTGTCATGACAGAGGCATAGAGGCTGAACGTACATGCAAGTTGCTTTTATTACAAAACCAAAACTCAACAAAGTCCAAAAAAAAAGAGAATAACGAAGATCCACAAAAGAAACAAATCCATAAAGTAACAACAACAAAAACGGGAACAGAAACTACGAAACAGAGAGAAAATGCAAGACAAAGACTGAACCAAACACGAGGATATAAAGACAGAGGGAAAACACCTGGGAAAAACGAGAGGGCAGAGCTACAGGCTACAGAAAAATGAACACGATTACAGGGGGGCAGGACCAGGGAGGAGACCAAACCAAAATAACCACAAAAGCACATGGAAAAATGTAAACAAAAAGCACACGGCTGAAACAGGGAAGACGGGCAAGACCGGACAAGATGTTACAAGTGCAAGTTCTGTCTGGTGGTTAAAGTCACTGCAAGAACTACAATCAGTTCAATATTCAGTAAAAACTCCAGACTTCAGGCTGGACACTCAGTATACAGGAGTCAGCGCTGTGGTGTCCTTCACTTTTATGTTGGTCATTCGTAAGGCAGGTGCTGTATCACTGCTTTGCATCCTATCAGCTGATAGTTGGGGACAGCGCAGCAGAGAGACAGAGGGATGCTGTGTCCACCTTTGAGAAAGTCATTGACTCCTGGACTGTTTGATACTGAGAAAGACAGAATAATAATATTGATAATATCTGGTTAAAGAAATAGATCGGACTGTATATAAAATGAGTTTCAGTCCTGAACAAACTCTTCTTTTGTTTGGCTTCACTGTATAAGCTGTGTATTACACTGAAACAGAGTTAAATAAACCACTAATAAATCACGTTGTACTAAGTTATTCAGTTAAACCTACTTGAGGTTCAGTTTAGTCTATTTCTTGTTCAGTCTTTATGAGATGCTGACATCAAGCTGATCGACTGTTCTCCACCTGCGGAGACGCATGAAGAGCCTGGAGGAGATCCTGGAGGAGGGCAGCACATCTCCTCTACATCTTCAGTCACAGATGAGTGTGACCATCACAGAGTCGTACAGACTCTCCTTCACTCTCTCTGATCAGTCTGGATCATAATCAATGATGCTGCTTTTGAATTTACCGCTTCATATTTTGAGGTTAGCAGCTATGATCTCTGCACTATTGTACACTATTATACGTGGGTGTTGGTCAGTCGTTATTCCAGGAGCGAATAGTGCTTGTTTGGCAAAACATAGTGAACCTGTCCATGCCTTACTGCACTGAAAGAACAGAAATCCATATAACTGCATCCAATCAGTTTTTCCAGTTACAGTCAGCTCCATAATTATGGGCATAATTATTGATAAAGAAGGGTAAAACCTTTTTGTGGTTAATTAGCTCCATCACACACTAATAATGGCAGAAATCTAAGCCGTAATTTAGGTAAATTTAGTCTAAGAAAACAAAATACTTTATTAATCTATTTTTTAAACAAAAACACACATCGTGTGTGTGCTGTCATGGACAAAGCAGGGATGCTTTCCAAACCCACCTTATTATTATATAACACCTATAATACATACAGCCTGTGTAAAAGAAACAAAATTAACAGGGTTTATTTTTTTAATGTTCTAGTGGAACAGAAGTTTAAAACATTGATTCATTTTCAGCATTAGAAAATAACTAAATTATATACTTAACAGAAACTTCATCAGCTAACTCTACTCTCAGCTGTGTGAGTCAGTGAGTCACTCTTCCCCTTTATTCCAGCTTCCATTCTGTTCAGGAGACTCAATTTCAGTTCCTCAAAGAATCTGCAGACACACCTCCAAAGTTCAGTCTTAGAAGCTGGTTGATGATTTTCTGAAGTAATCAAACACATTCAGTGGTGTTGAGGTCTGGACTCTGGGGTGGTCAGTCCATCGTTCAGCTTCTTTGTTTGATGTGTCCGTCTCCTTTTCTCAGTGAGGTTCTTCTTGATCAGCTACACATCCTTTCAGACCCACAGCGCTGAGTCGTCTTCTCACAGTGGAAGGATGGACAGAAACACCTGTGGATGTTTTCAGATCTGATCAGCTTGATTTTCTCCTCTCTCTCAGAGATGAAAGCTTTAAGTGCTGTTTATCTGATGGGGGCAGTTTTGGGGTCGACCAGCTCTTCCAGGTGGTTGTTAGGAGCCCCATTTTCTCTGTAGCTTTTAATCAGTTTTTGAACTCCAGTTTTGTAACTGATTATCATGTATTTTCACTTTGACTTTCTCCGTCATTATGCAAGTGAATTATCTTATCTCCTCACAAACGTCTCCTGAATAACCAATAACTTGCGCTTAAATATTGTAACTGTCAGATTATTTCCTTAATCTGTTGGTGCTTCTAGCTCTGATCGGCTCCTGCATGAATTCACTATTAACTGTCAAATAAAGAACAATGTTGGTCATTTTGATTGACAGATTCCTGCACTGCTGTGTTTCCTCTGTTGGCTTTGAGGTGGGCATTATGTTGAAGAGGCTGACGTCCAGTTTCTCCTCGTACCAATCAGAATTAGGACAGATCTTTAAAAGTCCAGAAAATAAAAGCTTTAAAAAGTGTAAAAATCTGCTGCTGCTGTTGGTTGTTTATGCTGCTTTACGCTGCATATTTACTATGACATTTAGATATTTAGTCCATAGTCAGGAGCAGCACTTAGACCCAGTCTTAACCATGAGTTTCCAGGAATTCCTTCATCAAGACAAGGCTGCATTGTACTGACCAACCAGTAGGTGGTGCCAAACCCATTTAATAAAAACAACTAGTAAATAAAAACAACTACTTTAAACCACCAAATAAGTAGTAAAAAGTATAGTAGTAACAATAAAACAAACAATAACAAAAAAATAAAAATACAATAATACAAGTCATAGAAGCACAACGTAATGGTAAGATTGTAGTAAAAGTAATGAAAAAATAAAAGCTAGTTAAATGCTACAGTGAAAAAAATATGTTTTTAAATGCTCTTTTTTAAATCAGAGTATAAAAGGAGACGAATGTTTATTGATCATGTGTTTCAGATCTTTGGTGCATAAAAACCAAAAGTCTGCTTCACCACTTTTTCTAAGTTTAATTAGTGGAAAATGGAGAAGGCAGAACTGGATGATCTCAGAGCTCGATGTGGATCAGAGTTTATGAGGCTTTCAGAGACGTATGAAGGAGCTGCACCACGAAGAGATTCAGAAACTACTAATAATAATGTTAATTTTCTCGCCGCTGCATTTTGTACAAGCTGTATGGATCACTTTCTTGCCCTTGTAACTGGTAAAGCTACTGTGAATCCTTGAAACTGGTAAAGTGATGATATTTTAAAAACTGTTATGACTACATGATTGCTATCTGCTGCTTCTTTTTGTCCAATAGGCATGAAACAGTGTTTTTAAATCCATCAGAAACTATTCAATGTATTTCTCACATTGTACTGCACTAAATCCAGTTAAACAGGACTAATTAAGCTCTCTTTGTAATGAAACATGCAGTTGGTCAGTGTTTTAAGCAACAATATGCACAATACACTCAGTTATACTCAGGTATACTTTGACAAGATTTATAATGAAAACGATATAACAATATCTTTATATTGTTGACCGCTATCAGTGCGTCTGCTGGAGAGGTGGGAGCTTTCATCTTCTCACGTTCTTCGGGACTGTGCTGTAGATCAGAGTTTCGTCATTCCTGCAAACATTTGTAACATTGAGATCATATTATTACTGTTTCTTTTTTTAGAGGGGAATTTAAAATATGATTGTGTTCTGAGGTGCTACACACTTTCCAAGGTTCACCAGTTTCGTCTTTGTGATTTGTTCAGGGAAAAGAACATTTTTAAATTCAATTCCATGACAATAAATCTGAAAATTCATGATGAGAACTGCTATTAGTGAGACTCTTCCCCCATGGATGCTTCACTGGTGTCAGAAGTGAGATAAAAATGACACATGGGTCCAACTGGCTTGTTGATTTTCAGACAAATAAGTATTCGCCATCTTAGAAAGCATGTGTCATCACGTAAAGCTAATTTAGCACATATAACTGAGTCTTTTGGTTAGCTGATCTGACTTTCTGCCTGTTGTCCATCCATCCATCCTTTCGTTCAACTGGCCATGCAGCATTCCCTGGATACACGTTCAGCAGTAAAGTGAATAAGAACCCTTATGACATCATGAAATAGTGGCTGGATAATGTTTTTTTGAGCTTGATATCAATTAAGCATGCTTGGTAACACTTTGTTTGGATTACCCACAGCTGATACCTGGTAGATGCTTAGCTTGTATTTAACTTACATGCAACTGAATATCCATTAAATTCAACATAACATTCCCAAACCATAACTGTGGCCACAAACTAAACCTTAACCTCAACCAAAAGCCTAAATATAACTGAAGTCCTAATTCTGACTCTAAAGCTGTTGAGAATGAACTGAGAATGAGTTTCACCAGATAGTTTGTTAATAATAGATAATCTATAAGGGTCTATTTAAAAAAGTGGGACTGTGCACTCATCAGAATATTAAGACTAGAGATACACAATCATATCAGACTATCTGCTGACATTTACTTAAAAAAAATTATCGGCAGCCAAACAGTGTTTAGAATTGGCCAATATTTAAAACTGATATTTGATGATGTAGTTATTGAACTCCAGACGAGCAGAACGTTTGGGATGGTGGGCAACTGCAGTAAAATATCTGCATTTTATTTATGTTACTGTATTTGTAACCATAAAGAAACAGACGTTAGATTTCTCAGTACTGCAGAGCAGTGAGTGGAAAATGTCTTTCATACTGCAAACTTTCTCTCAGCCAGCAATGAACTAACACTAACTCTGTGGGCACAAGTAAAAAGGAAAGTGTGTGAAGTAAGCAAGAAAATGAAGGTTGAATCGAACTGCGGCTGCTGACTCACTGTGTGCTGTAGAGAATCCATTTCCAGAGAAAGCAGAAGAAGTGAGCTGTGTGTGAGAGATAAGCTTCACTAAATTATGTGTATTACTTACCGAGCAGTTCTTGGTTTAGCAGTGTTCACTGCAGCGTACTGCACTTCCTCTTCTTCAGGCAGAGAGTTTGACTGTTGGACAGCGGAGTAGAGAGGAACGTCCTTCGCCTGAGAGAGTGAGAAATGAACAGTGGAGTACTGAACATCATCCTGATCATCTGAGGATGCAGCTCTTGAGGGGTCAGAGGTCACAGCCAGGGTGGAGACCTCATCGTACACGGGAGCAGAAGCTCCCTGAGAGAGAAGGAGAGATGAAAACATGGATATACAGAACCACATGACTGGGCTTTTCTCTGAAGAGCTTGTAAATGACAGTATTCATCATATTTGGAGTTTACATTGTTGGTCGGTGCAGCAGGAGCTGAAAAATTTCTAGGAGGAACATTCATTTATCTGAGCCAAACCAGTCTGTGTAGAACAGAATTAGAGCTCTGTTTGATCAAGAACATTAACTCTGACAATATCAAAATCAGAATCATATTGAAGCCAAAAATGTGTATCACTGCCAATAGGTAACCATATCATTGCTGCAAACAGAATATTAGACTCAGAACATCTTTCACTCTATGAATTCCTTAATGGATGTAATTCAAACTGGATCCAAATGACTCCCTCATTAAAACTCACCTCTCCACTGCTCTCCTCTCTCTCTCTGCTGGTCACTGCTGCTCGTCTCCTGTTGGAGTTTTCACAGGAAAATGACCTTCAGACTCACATCTCCAGCATTAAATCAGCTCCTGTTAATGTTCTGAAACTGCACACCGTCTATTTTACTCTCTACTGTATTAAACTGCTTATATTAGAGTGGAGAAGCTAAACTGCAGCACAGCTTACAGGCAGCATTTGGAGGATGTTTCATATCTTACATGTGTTCAGATTCTCACCTCATCCACAAAAAGACTGCAATAAATATCAGAAGTAAAACCACGGCGACTCCAGAAGCTGCATATACTGAAGTCCTGTTATCTGTGTTAGTGCAGAGATGCAGGAGAGGAAAAAGAGAAATTATACTTAAGTACAGGTATGTTGAAATTATGGTGGAAGTACGGAATCAAAAATATACTTGAAAGATTAGATGTAAATTTACTATATACTACAGTAAACGTAAAGAAATGGATGGGGTTTTTTACCCTTTGCTTTAGCTTTACAAAGGTATAAAAAGGTGTTCAGAATGATTCATCAATTGATAACTGACATTGACTGATGACTGACTCATGCATTAACTATTTATGTCTAACTTTTCTCTTATGCTGTAGCTAGACAATCAGTGCAGTTGAGAGAACACCAGAATGTTAGCATGGCTCATGTAACTTAAGCTACCACTAAGCTAACGATAATTAACCCCACCAAACACAAATACACAGCTGTCACTCACTTTCGCAGTCACAACAGCGTTTGATGGTGTAGTTGATGGTAAAGACAGAGTATTGCTCACCCTCCACTGACCAAATACGTACATGATTCTAGTGATCTGACTGCTTTTATCTTCTGTGATGTGAACACTAATGCAGTACTTAAGGTAATTATAGATGTCTGGATGTGTTAGTACAGCCATTAACATAGAATCGGGACTCAAACATAATTTATCAGTTTGGTATGGATCAACATCTCTGATCAGACTGAACTTTTTTTGATATCTTTATTTGGAAGCCATCGCCTGTGCTTTACAAATGATGAAATACAAAAATAATTCAAATTATTATTTAAAAGGTAACAAAGTAAAGGAGAATATAAATTTAAATCATGATTAAAACAAGAGAAGAATCATTCAAAGTAAAAATAAAACAAAGTTGAATAATGATCTGAGAGTTCTGCTCGGCTCTTATCGCTGCAGCAGATCAGATAAATACGCTGCTCCTGACCATTAAGACATTTATAGAGGAGTAACAGCTCCTTACAGTCTATTCTGGAACAGACTGGTAACCAGTGTAAGGATTTGAGAATGGGGGTGGGGGGGGGGTCCTTCTTTTACTCCTTTAACTCTGCTTTAGTCAGAACATCTCTGATCTAATTGATGTTCTTAAGGTGATAAAAACCTGATTTAGTAACTGCTTTAGTTTGTAATACGTACCACTGGTCATTGGTACTAAGAAATAATATTATTTCGTTTTTTTGACAAACTAGTCCCTTCCTTGCAGGTATTAGCTGAACCATTTTAGGACAGCTCCTGGAGCCCAACCCAGTTCTCAAGTCTATCTATAAGAATTTCATGGTCATTGGTATCAAAGGCAAAGCTGAGCACTAGTAGAGCAGACTTTTTTCCAGAGTCTGCATTTTTTTAAGACGCTGCAACTGCAGTTTTTAATTTGTTAGTAAATCGCCCAACAGGAGTGAGGTGTTTACTGTCCGCTGCTATTGAGTGAAACACATTCTTTAAAAACTTGGTTGGTAACATGTCAAGACTACAAGTGGAGGATTTGAGATGACTCACTGTATATCTCAGTGTTATGACTCACTGTTTAATATTTCATTGTTAATAGCACTAAACTGGGACATTTTAACCATGATATATTTACAGGTTGATGGAGAGAAGACTGGCTTTTAAATGGATATAGATTTATAGATATTAATGGCTTGTCTGATATTATGGATTTTAGTGTTAAAAAGTAAGCAAACTCATTATATTTCTCATGTGATACTAGTTTAGGGACAATATATGTAGGCGAGTCTGTTAGTTTGTCAACTATAGCGAAGAGTATATTACTATTAATAACACTGGAGAAAGCAACATTCTTAACAGTGGCTAATATGTTGTAACCCTTTGACAACCACATCCAGAGTGTGACTATGGCAGTGTGTGCTCCTAGTCACATGCTGAGAGAGTCCAATATATTACAGAGTTTCTTGGCATAATTATCATTGGGATTGTCAGTATGTATGTTAAAATCACCAGCAACAAAGAAATGATAAAAATCAATGGAAATAAAAGTTAACATATCTGTAAATTCATCAATAATATTAGAATTGTACTTCAGAGGTCTGTAGACAATTAGTAGTAATTTTCTTGGTGCCTTTTTTAGAACTGTACAAACCATACATAAGATGGGATGAATCACCAAATAGAGCAGCTGTACCACCACCTTTCTTGCTAGCAGGTGAGATTTTAAAGTTTGATGAAATTTGATGGAGCCGACTCGATTAATACGGTTTTAGCACTACAGTCAGGTAACCATGTCTCAGTTAAAAGCATAAAATCAAGCTCATGGGATCAATCAGATCAATAAATCAAATCAATAAATCAAATCAACTTGTATGTGAGAGATCTAATATTGAGGAGAGCTACCTTAATAACCTGTGTGTTTTGCTCCACAACTGTGACTCATATTTTACGTACTGTAGATTGAACTGGAAGTACATTTCAGATAATGTGGATATTATCTGAAATGTACTCCCTGTTTTTTTTTGTTTCTGATAAGTACTGGAATGGGAGAGGTTACTGGGAAACAGGTTCCAAACATGTTTTCAAAACATGTAGTGCTGACATCATCACTGTAGCAGCACAAGCCTGAAGAAATATCAATTCAAGTACAGTATCGAAATATTTTTTTTTCCACTCCTTACTGTACCCGATACAGTGATCTCAGCTTTGCAATACAGGCACCTTGAATGGTTAACAGAATACTTTAGTACCTGTACACCTCCCTAACACAGATGACCACGGTGTGACCATGACCATGTATGTTTCACTCCTGCTGAGATATTAAACAGATGTGCAAAGTCACATAACTCTTATAATGCAGACTGAGAAGAGGGTCTAAACAAGAGGGTGTTACATTTTGACCTAGCATGCATCCAGTCTTCTTTCTCTTACTGACCTCTGTGGAGGCAAGAAGGCGACTACATCATCCCATAACATACCTGATGTAAAAGTCCATTCTGATGAGTTGGATGATCCTAATCGATTCTCTGCCATACAGTAGAAAACTCCATCTGTTCCTGCAACTAAAGTTAAATTGTCTCCTTCTCCAAACTGTGAGATGTCTCCTCCTATCTTCCTGAACCAGGTGTAAGAGCTGGCAGGGTTGGAGTCACTGACACAGACCAGCCTGACTGAGCCATCAAACTCAATCTCAGATACAGATGGAGGTCTGGGAGAGTCTGAACAGGACAGAGACTCGACTAGTTACTGAACTTCTTATACTGACAAAAACAGATCATACAGAACAAACTGCTCTTACATAACACATCCAGACGGGAGGGTCCTGAGCGGCTCTGTCCGAGCTGGTTGTGAGCGGTGCAGTAGTAGAGTCCGCTGTGCTGGGAGCTGATGCTGGTGATGCTGTAACTCTGTCCTGTTCCCAGCTCTACGTCTGAGCTCTGATTAAACCAGTAGTAGGAGAGAACAGGAGGGTTTGCATCACTGCTGCAGGTCAGAGTCACTGAGTCTCCCTCCACTCTCTGTCCAGAGGGAAGAATGACCACTCTGGTGTTCTTAGGGGAGTCTGAATGGAAAGGTGATAAAGATTCAGGTGTTGCATGTGTAGCTGTGCTACGAAGATCGAGTATCATTTTTATTCTCTTAATAAGTTGTTTGGTGTTTGATGAACTGCTAATTTACTAATTAATCAGTGGCATAGGCAGAAATAGATTTTGGGGTAGGCCTGTGAAAAAGGGCCACATCCATAGATTTTTTTCAGGATGTTTTCCAAACATGTTATGTCCCAAAATGTCTTATCATCAGGCTGTAGCAGTGCTGTCATCATTTTACATACTACAACTTTTCTGCCCTAAAGTGATAAAAAAACAATAATAAGACTTGAAAACATTAACCATGAAACATCAGAGGCTAAAGCATACTGCCACAGCAAGCTTGAAGTATAGTTATGGACCATTTATGCTTTACCTTTGATTACCTAAACATCCGTAGTAGACATTTACTTTAACATTTTGACACAGTCCCTTATTGCTTTTTTAGTAAAGTACCAAATTCACTGAGCACTGATGACAACAAGGTTTTTAAAATAGTTTTTTGGCTTTTACAGATCCCACAGGCACGTCTTCTATCCTCATCTAAAATGAGCTTCAAATTCAAACACTGGCTCACTGATAAAGAACTGGAAACTTGAGACAATGGTGCATAGCAACGGTTGCTAAACAGTGACTGGGGTTGAGGAAAACAAGGTGGAGTTTGGGCCTGGAATGGGCTGGAGAGCATAATGATTTTAATTTGCTATAATACAAAAATAAGACTCACAGAAAACAAATTTCATCTTAAAAAACGCAGCTTAATAAATATTCTATCCCCATTTGATTGGGTAAGCCTATGATCAATATGGCTGAGTCCTGACCTACAATGACCAGTGGTAGCACGCCTGGTGTGGTTTTGCCAGCTGGGAGACCGGTTCTGTTATTCCTCACCCTAAAACAGAGGCCCAGTCTCATACTAGATTCTGCTGCCCTGACTTGGTTCTAAATCTGTTCATTATGCAGGTTCTACTTCAGTCCTACTTACTGTCTCTTGTGGAGAACCTTCAACCTGATAAACATTGGTGAGTGAGAGGTACAAGCCGAGTCCATAAAGTGACTCGAATATAAAACTGAAATTCAAAATGTATTTATATGCATATTGTTTTGTAGATGTTATGCATTTACAATGACAGTCAGGCAGCATGGAGAATAAGACAGAAACACACATGACTAAACGGCTGTACATCCTGCCAAGCAATTATATTAAGGTTTAACGCAATATCAGAATAAAAAAAAAGTAAATGTTTACTGAACACTATAAGATTCTTAAATGGCTCCTACAACCAGCATCAACCTTGTCTGCTTGGAGATAAACAGCACAAGACCAACTGAGCTTCATTACAAACAGCCTGTTCTATCAGCACAGCATTCAACACAACACTAAATAAGAGATCTCTATAAACAAGATAAAAGGGATTGTAGCAAAATGACACACCAACATAAACAGACCTTAAGCCACAAAGTTAAAAGGTCACAACACCCAAAATAACTAAATCACACACAGCAGTAATAAACCAGATGGAAATACTACAGCATACAATTATAGAATCCCTTCAATGTTACTCACCAAAACTGGTCTCTGTCCCATTTACACTTGATTCACATCTGCTTAACATTTAATCTTCCAACATGAATTTTCTCAAATACATTACACATTAGTCCCTCAGCTGCATTAGCAGGCTATGTTATATTAGCTATTTCTGCTAAACCTGGCACCAGAAGCTTCTGATTCAAAAACATTTGAGGCCGGTTGTGTAAATTTTGCCTCGCAAAGGCCACTAGATTGGTCAAGGCCGTTTCCTTAAACATCCTGAGCCAATTTCAGCGCTGCTGATTGGCTGAGGGCAGAGCACTGAATCCCATGGAGGAGTTAGGAGTATAAAGGGTTCTGTAAACGGCGTCCAACAACACAGACGGAGATCACGGCCACAGCTCCCAGAGCTGTAAACTGGCTTTTAGTTCTTAGACCCTCCAGGTTAACCGACCTACTGAACAAAGACTTAAGCGTTCAGTAGAAAACACTGTGATATATTTCAACATGATTATTTCTTATTTTTTGCTTGTTGTAATGAAAAGGGTGTCGTCCCAGCGCCCATAATGGATTTAACGCCTCTGAGCTCTGCTCTGTTAAACAATACCTGATCAATGGTTCCTCTGGTTAATAGATAAATAAGTTGAGCCAGATGTGCTGAAAAACACCAAAACACTGCTTGATTATTAAACAAATTATTACTGTATGTGATACTCTGTACTCACACACTGGAGGAGAGTGGAGATCACTGCTTTTAACAGCACAGCTGTAGCTGACCGCTTCACTGACCACAGCTACAGAGCAGGAGGCAGATTCACACTGAGATACAGGCTGTCTGTTCTTGTACCAGATGTAAGTGGGGTTGGGCAGAGTGCAGGTGGAGATACAGGTCAGTGCTACTCTCTGTCCCTCTGACACTGTGGCTGCAGGACCTTCCACTTTCACCTGCAGGACTTTATCAAAAACACCTGAAACACAATAAATTAATGATAGATAAAAATATATATATCCTTAAACAATCAAAACCACAAACTGAATTATATTAAACTGTATAATCAGTGTCTCTCAGAGTGACTGAACATGAGTTCACTGTAATGCAGTGGAAGCTGCCAGTGAGATGATAACAGAGTGAGTGCAGGATGTTCAGGAGGTTCTGTTCTGTTCTGAGTGCAGTTTAAAGTGAGGTCTTACAGACAGCAGGAGAGCGGAGCTCCTCGTATCCTTTCACAGCGCAGGAGTAGCTGCCTGCATCCACAGTTCTGTCTCTCAGATTCAGTTCATTTCTGTTCTGGTTCAATACAGGCTGTCTGTTCTTGTACCAGATGTAGGTGGGGTTGGGCAGAGTGCAGGTGGAGCTACAGGTCAGCTTCTTTACATTTACATTTACATTTACAGCATTTGGCAGACGCTCTTATCCAGAGCGACTTACAATTTGATCATTTTTACACAGGTAGGCGAAGGTAGTGTTAGGAGTCTTGCCCAGGGACTCTTATTGGTAAAGCGTAGGGTGTTTGCCCAGGCGGGGATTGAACCCCAGCCTACAGCGTGGAAGGCAGAGATGTTACCCACTACGCTATACCAACTTTACTCCTCCATCTGTATCTGACACTGTAACCTTCAGATCTGCAGGTGATTTTAAACAAGGTTTAGTGTTATTTTCATCTGTAGATACTCTTACAGTTAGCTACACTCACTGTATGTATCTAGTAGGGGTGTGTATGGATACTCGGTTAACTGTTCCAGGTGTCAGTATCTGAACACTGAAATCACTGTTGGGGTATTTGTTATGCTGCATCACAGAAGGTCAGAGAGGAAATAATACAGGTCTACTTCCTTTTTCCTTCCTGTGATTAAGCAAATATCCATTCATTCACTCTCACAGATACTGGAACATCAGATTTAGTCAGAATGCAGGTCTTTATTATCCAGAGTTACCTGTGACAGACAGAGTGACTCCAGGTGAGCCGGTGTATCTGCCCTTAGGATCATCAGTGTAGAATCTGAATCTGTAGGTGTGAGCGTCACTCTCTCTCAGGTCAGTGATGGTCATTCTACAGTAGTTCAGGGTCCGGCTGTACTGCACTCTCCCCTTATACTGATCAGACTCTCGCACATCCTCAGGCTCAACATTAGTCTTCCTGAGACTTTCA